TTATTGCTGTATATTTACATGGCTCCGTGGGAGCTGTGAGGTTAATTTGCAGCGAAACATGAATTTTTATTAAAGTTATAATTTTAAGCAAGAGTCTAAGATGACGAATTGAGGGAACATAAATCAATGTTGCTTTTTTATTGAAATCAGAAAATGCTGGTGGAATATAAACTTGCTTAATGATGCATCAAACCCGGCTAGACTCTCTCCTTCGAGAGACAGAATTTGTGTACAAAGAAAGAAAGTGGTGCAGTCCACCATTTATAACGGCGGTCAGTACAATATTTAACGGCAGGCAGTGAATTACAGAGACTCGCTGATGGCGATGCAGAGGAGTTAATAGCGAGTTGCCTTGACTTTATTTATTAAGTGTGTTGCACAAAGTGTGTATAAATATTTCAGAACATCCACAAACATGGGTTGGGTAATTTATAGGCTGTCACGCTCAGCGCGAGATATATTGAGTTAAATGGACCGTGCCTCCTGTTTAGGTTGAAATCTATTAAATGAAACTTGCTGCAATGGAAGGAGAAAGTGTGGCTTTCCAGGGGGGTATAGTCCTCTACGTGGAGCCATTTCAGGTGTAGGACACAAGAAACAGTGAAACCATCTGCTCTCCCTAACCAGATGTTTAAATGAGCCCTCAGTCCCTTAACCTGGCATTTCCGACAAGTTCTTCAAGTTTAAAGAGTTCATGTATAAGTAGAAAGATAGTGGGATCTGTAGTCTAATACCCCCATAACTGCCCGGGAGCATTGGCATTAAATCATGGTTTATTCCACAGATTGTGACCCCCATAACCTCCTGCAGCTCTGTGCCAAGTCCTGGGCGATGTACCCACATTCTGTGCCAAGTCCTGGGCGATGTACCCACATTCTGTGCCAAGTCCTAGGCGATGTATCCATACTCTGTGTTAAGTCTTGGGCGGTGTACCCACACTCTGTTATGTCCTTGGAGATGTACCCACACTCTGTGCCACATCCTGGTTGATGTACCCACACTCTGTGCCAGGTCCTGGGTGATGTACCCACAATCTGTGCCAGTTCCTTGGCGATGTACCCACACCGTGCCAGTTCCTGGGTGATGTACACACTCTGTGGCAGGTCTTGGGCGATGTACCCACACTCTGTGCCAGTTCTTGGGTGATGTACACACACTCTGTGCCAGGTCCTGGGCGATGTACCCACACATTATAGTGTTAGGAATACTATAGTGGGACCAGGTACTGAAACATTAGTGTTAGGAATACTATAGTATTTTAAAGAAGGCTATTAGGGCACTAGAAAAAGTGCAGAGGCGGGCTACGAAATTAATAAAAGGAATGGAACATATCGGCTATGAAGAAAGGTTAACAAATTTAAACCTCTTTAGTTTAGAAAAACGTCGCCTGAGAGGGAATATGATAACATTATACAAATATATTCGGGGCCAATACAAACCATTGAAATCTATTCACAAACCGGACTTTACATAGGACACGAGGCCATGTGTTTAGACTGGAAGAAAGAAGATTTCGTCTAAGGCAAAGGAAAGGTTTTTTTACTGTAAGAACAATAAGGATGTGGCATTCTCTGCCTGAAGAAGTGGTTTTATCAGAGTCCATACAGATGTTCAAACAGCTACTAGATGCATACTTGCAAAAACAGAATATTCAAGGATATAATCTTTCAATGTAGGGTAATAACTGCTTGATCCGAGGATAAATCTGACTACCATTCTGGGGTCAAGAAGGATTTTTTTCTTAGTATGTTGCAAAACTGGAAGTGCTTCAAACTGGGGTTTTTTTGCCTTCTTTTGGATCAACAGCAAAAAACAAATGTGAGGAAGGCTGAACTTGATGGACGCAAGTCTCTTTGTAACTATAGTGGGACTGGGGACATTACAGTGTTAGGAATACTATAGTGGGACCAGGGACAGAATCATTATAGTGTTAGGATTACAGATTAACACTATTGTGTTCCTTCAAACTTTGTAAATCTATGTTTAATCCACCACATTTCACTATTTGTAATTCATTGTGGAAACATAAATTATAAAATATAAAAGTGTGACCTTCATAGAGGTTTAATCACTAAACAGACAAAATATTTGCAACTTTTAGAATAAATTATCAGAGCTCCAAAACCGTTAAATTGGAGCATAATTCCAATGTAGATGTCTGGGTCTAAAATGTGCGGTTTTCTGAATATTACAAAGAATAAAACGGGTAACAATCTAAAGACAAAAAAAACTGTTCAAAACGAATAAACAAAATAGATATTTATCCGCATTCCCTTTTCTAACATACTTGAAGCCAAAGTTCCTAAAATGGTCAGTACCGTGATGAATCGACTTTGAGTGTATTCACCAAACAGCCAAACAGTGATTTTGTCATCTGCAAAGTTCAGGCCAAGTCTTGGATTCGATTGAATTTGTCATTGTGAAAGTGCCTGTATTATATTATTTTAGTAATGGCTGCGATAAAATAAATCAGAATTTTTAAACAGTGACAGGAATATAAGTCATTAGAAGCACGTAGTGTTCTCGATATGTTTACTGTCTATAAGCACTTTGTCTGCGCTGTGTGTTTATGAAATGTGGTGAACTTAGGGAAATTCAATTAGAAGAGGACGTTGCTTAGATGAAAGATTATATCTTCATAATTATTTATTGCGAGTAGGTAGTCTAATAGCTCAGTATCTCGTAATAAACAGCAGGATTGATGAATTAACAAAATATTTGGAACCGTACACTCTGTGATAATTGTATTTTCGAATCTGTAATAAATACCTTTACCCATTGCTCCTTCATCTCCCGTCCCATAAAACTCAACTGTATTGAAAAAGCCATTTTCCCAGGGAGTTGTATTTATTGCAGACAGAAATTTGCTCCTTTTAATGGTCAATTCAAATGTGTAACGTGCAAACCTTTTTAAGATACTCTGGGCTTTAATGGTTAAAATGGGAATTATTAATATCCTGGTGATCGTAGCGGACATTAGATAGCCGCTCCTTGATCTGAAAGCTTTTTTCTTTTTTGAAGCGCCGTTAGACGTTTTTTTTCGGGTTTCTATTGTACCAACAGCAGGAAAAGGTAAGTGTTCAGAACTGATGGACCAGAGTTCTTTTTAACGTTTATTGCTGTGTAACAAGTGATTACGATGAGGCCTTCACCTTCTTTCACCAAGCTTATATAAGAATCAGAACTTCCTCATTACCAGAACCGCAGGGTCGATTTCATATTTTTGGATAAGCATGTCAAATTATTTAAATTTTTGGATACATTTTTAAAACGATTTGTTATTATAAAAAACATTTTAATTTTGTAATATTTTTGCTAATTTTGTATATATTGATTATTATTTTTTTGTCAATCTTTTTTTTTTTTTTTTTGTGAGACTGGTTGAAAACAGACAGACATGCTTGTACGATATGACAGTGAATCAAATATTGTCACAGTAACAAATATTAAAACAAGACCCTCCCCCCCCCCCAGGGACAAGAAACAGTGAAGCAATTTAAACTGCACCTGGACTAGACTCACAATATTGTAAAAAGTGTTTTTCTAGTTATAATTACAAGACCTATTGGTCTCAGATGAGAATAAAACCCTTCCCCTATGATGCTCGTCAGTTAGAGATAATAAATGTTATGCTAAGTAAACCCAGCAGTGTCCCGGGTTCTCAAGAGTAATGGCACAGTAATGACACAGTATGGGCTTTACAGCGGTACTAATAAGAAGACATTGCTGCATGTGTTGCAACAAATACAACTCACGAGGTGCCGTAGGATAGACAACATTGTTTGTCAGGTATGGGGTCATTTCTTCTGGGATTAGCACTGGAACAGGCAATGCGGTGTCCAAAGCCGGCAGGGAGAGGTAGGCCCTAACTTTGTGCTCTCCTGCCCTTCTGCAGGAATAACAAGGGCATCTGTTGATTGCCTGTACTGCTGGAGTATTAAGGGGAGTATTCTGTCTTGATGATGGTGCACAATAGTCTCAAATTGCTATGAACTCTGAGGAATGGCGTCCACTCACCACAGGTGTTGAGCTCTCTCTCTCTATATATATATATATATTATATTTTTTTTTATATTTTTTTTTTATATATATTAATAGTTTGAAAAAAATCATTTGTAAAGTATATCCAAAGATATGAAATCGGATCCTAAGTTACTAATTTCTTTTCCTGTTGGATGTGAGAGGACAAGGTGGTTTCTCTCTCCCACGGATCGATAAGCTCTATAATCTCTGCTTTCCATGTCATTCATTTTTGTTGTTGTTACCTTTCGACCTGGTAGAGGTTCCACCATATAATTACTGTCTTCTTTCCTTATTTTCTGTGGTTTTTACTCTATACACAAGACCATTCTTGAGATATCTCGAATAAAAATCCCCAGAAAATATTTTAATTACAAATGGAATCAGACGTCCGTCAGTCTAGTTATTTGTAACACTGAATGTTCCATGCTGGGTTTAATTATGGTATATTTTTAATAAATTAAAAAAGCAGGAATTAGGAAGCATCACCAGAGCATGCATTATTCAATAGTTTAAATGACCCCAATTTATACAAGGAACACGACTCTTGAAGCGGTTAATAGTAATAATAGTATTGTATGTAATAAGCAGTACTAAGCACCTGCTATATAATATTAGTGATTTATTACAGTATGGCCATTGGATGTGGCCAAATCCCTCTCCATTTTTTCTGTCCCTCAATTTGATTTTTTTTGTAGCTTTGAAAGGTTTAAGACAGTATATTTTGTTGTGTATTGATCTCTCGTTGTGTATTTTAAATAAATGAAGACAATATTTACCTAATTACCCTGACCCCCTCTCTACCCGCACAACACAGCTCTCACTGATGGCTAATAAAACTTCGGGCTGTGTTTTATTGCTTACATAGCACTGTTACCCAAGTGTATCCAGATACTAGAGTCCACTTGTCTCCAGTATTTTAAGTTTTCATCTTTCAAAACCTTCATTACATCTTAAAATGCAATCAAAATGTCAACATGTCAGAAATAGAAACAGATATCTGTATAATTTTATTTATAATGTCATTAAGATTTACAGAAAATTTGAGGTAATGTTTTGTGTCCATATCTGTATTAATATAATACTATGAGATTTGTTCTGAGAAATTGTCAGAGTATGTCGTCCAAAAATCTCTCTTGAATTAAAGTGCTGCATATTGGGTTTCCCATCTGCTCGCTGCCGGTCTGTGGACTACTTGAACAGTAGTATTCAAGGTTGGGTTGTGGAAAAGGTGCTGAGTTCTTTATTCAATTTGGCAATTCATTAAAAGTAACCCGTACATGTCTGTAAAAGAATTTAGTTTTTTTAAGGGAAGAAAATCTGGATGAAATATATACATCTCGCTCTCGCGTTTATGAATTTTAAATCTTAGTTTTCTTCTCTTCGATGTTCATTTCGTAGAAGTTAACTGGTAATGGCTTCTTCTCGAGCTCCCCTGCGCTCTCGTCCTCCTCTTTTAGGTCATCTGGATTTACAGTGACGTAGAAATATCCCATGATGGAGAAAATGATGCTGACGGCGATTAGAAGGGCAGCAAACAGGATAAACTCGGCCCACTGCAAGACAAGATATGCCATGACTACATTCGCAAAGTGACCCGACAGAGTGCAAGTCCAACTACTGACACGTAATGGTCAAAGAAGACCTGGCGGACATTTCATTGCTGCCATAACGACATTTATTCTCTATATAAATAGATGCACTTTGTGTATCAAGTATTTCTGTAATATCCCAGAAATATAAGGGAAATGTTTCTCCGATTGCCAAAACAGATAAATTACTAGGGTGAACACTTACCTGCTCCAGAGATCCCGCCTGAGCGACAATGAGCACAATAACGTTTCCAAAAGCAACGGTCAACAGCCATCCCGCCTGCAGGACGGATTTCATGCTGGGCGGCGCCTTCCGAACAGAAAGGGTGGTTTTTAACAAATTGAATTATGTAACAACAAAGGATTAATAATCAGATAATTCATCTTGATTACACAGGGCTGAGCATTTTTGGAGATCGGCAGAGATTTAATCAGCTAGACTGAGAATTAATGCTGAAGGCGTACCCCGGGGGCTTGTGCTTAAATGCATAGTGGCCCCCCTGGCCCCTGTAGGTCTCCATCTGTGCTCTGGCCTCCGTTCGAGTTATAGTTATTAATTTCAAACGTGGGGGAGGTGGTACCAAAGCATTTTCTGCCATCTGACTGCTATTATTAATTGCCTCTTAATAAAGTCATTATTAACAATATATAAATTTAACATGATTCCCCTGCACAGGATCTTGCAATGTGCTTGCCCTGGTGATCATCTATTGCCTAAATTGTGAATTTTAGACATTAATATTAATATTATGTGAAAAATATATGCCATACTATGATTTAAGATTAATGAAAGAAAAATATATATATATATAATTATTATTTGTAACTATTTTTTTCTGGTCTGTTTCCTTAACATGGCCCCTTGGAGGGCAGAGATGGGTTGTTACCTGGGAGTATGAGAACTCCAGCCCTGTGACAGAGAACATAACCTCCCCAGCACTGAGAAGTATGTATTGGGGGATCTGCCAAGCCACGTGAAAACTGTTAGCTTCAACATCTTCTGTCTTTTTGAATTCGATGGTTTTCGTGGTGGGGTTTCTCTAAATAAAAAGAACAGGCATTGCTGAGACATGAGCTGCATGCATTTACCTATTAGTTAATATTAACTGAACTACAACTCCCATGAGTCTTTCAATGAAATAGCAAGATAATCTTGGGTGTTGTAGTTCAGCAAGATCTGGAAGCCCAGAGTTTGGAGAACCCTGGTCTAAACCAAGGATAGTGAAGGGTGGACAGGGCACGTTTTAGGCCAAAATTCATTTCTGCTAAGTTATTTTCCCAAATAACGTATTTTTGCTCTAAAATTTGAAATTCCATTGTCACAATTAATGTTTTAGCAAAGAAACCCCTAAGAAACAAAATATTTAGCAGAAAAGCAAGTATCGTACACCTAGATTTGTACTGAAACAGGGAATCGTTATCGGTATCATTGTGTGAAACTACTCACTATTACGTTAAATCAAAACGGTCCTCATTTTTTATTACAAATAAATGTCTGCATATATAATAGCCTCTGCATGAAGAACAAACACTGCTTATACTTTGCAGGTAACGAGTGTTGACCCAAAAAGTATTTAAAGATAACTTTGCTCCCGTTGAGTAAGGGTTTTATATACACACAGAGACACACACACGGGTGTAACGGACCGTTTTGCCCATAAGAGGTTAAAAACCGTTTAGGCGATATTCCCCTTTTTCAGATGCACAGACAGCTACTGCAAATCCATGAATTCACCAACTCCCGAACTGCAACCAAGGGAAAACTCGAAACTCCCGAACTGGAGACACACGAATAGCTGTTAGCAGACGAACAGGAAAAGCCCCCAAGTGGCTTACACTCCTGGCAATCAGTCTCCAACAGCATTCAGTAAATCCTCCCAAAGACGAGACGACACTTCGGTTTGAGGGTCAAGCAGAATCTCTTTTACTGGGGCTACCTGCCTGGCTTTTATGCAGGTCTCCCACCTGGTGGACACTCCCCTAGGGGACCAGATGGGAAACATATTGGCTCTTAGCCAATCACATACATACACCTTTAAACACTCCCACAATTACATCACAATCCCTCCTCTCTGTCCTGGAGATAATTGGGAAGTAATCCAATTCTCTCCAAAGACAGAGGCAAAACTCCATTAACCACATGGCAGTAACAATACAGTAAAAGACATAAAATTACATACAGTCACATTTATTACATAAAACATATACATTCTACATATCCCCAGATAGCTTAGATCTGAGCGCACTTTACTACCGAATGGCGCTCAGATCACATTCACATACATACAGTTCAATCGCCATGGAGCCAAAGTCTTTCCCATAGTCTTTCGTTCCACGAATAGGCTCCATGGCTTAGCTATCTGTTAAACTACCGAATGAACAGTCATTCGGTTCTGCTACCGAATGGGAAGGTAAGGAGGCTGGCGGCTCAGCGGTGTTCGCGCCAATAAGTGTTCGTTTTCAGTTCCATAGTTTGGGCGCTGAACACCGCTGGCCGTTCGGGAGGTAAAATGGCCGTTGCCACGTGTTCGGCAGACGAACAAAGGCCACCCAGCGTTCATCAATTAAGCTGCGGTTAACCGCAGCTTCTGGGCGGTCAATTGACGGCACACTGCAGCTCCCAGGTGGTCCATCGTTTGTGGAATCTACCGAACACCCTGGCAGAAAGGCACGAATAAACCTTTCAGCAGGGAAAATAACAGCTCTGAACTGCAGGGCCATAGTCTAAAGGGAGCAGGCGAGCAACCAGGCTTCTCCAGTGTAAAGTGGCTAGGTTGGTTCTGCCACAACGGGTTTATCATTTCAATGACAGTAAACCATGACGGCAGAATAACTGAATATATTGGATGCTATTTTGTGTATAATGTCAGTGCCTCCTTGGTTAGAAAAAGAAAGTATTCCCAATCTGTTTGTTTTTTTGTATGAGGACAGGTTCGTTAAGTAAGTGCTAAAAAAAATCAATAGCCTCTTCTTTCTTTTCAAAGTTCCTACCGCCCCCCCCAAGTAATAGCTACCATATTGACTTGTGCAAAACTATGTGGTTTGAAATTCTTTACACAGAGAAAGATTTACGCAGTAAAATAGCAAAAGGCTGCCCTCCCACATACACACAACGTTTTTGGGATGTTTCTACACAAAAGGTTTAGAGCTTTTAAACAATATAGAAACACATACTTTTTAATTAACCATTTCCAAAACTAAAAAAAAACCTGCGTGATCTCTGTAAATTAAAATATTCATACCAGAAAGGACCTTACCTCCGTGAGGATTACAGTGTACGCTGCTCCGAAATTGAGTAATCCAATGTCAAATTTGTATTCTTCGCCATCAATTATGGCTTTTACTTCTGGTCTGATAAATTAAGCAAACATTGATATTAGATACACCATAACCTTATAGCTGCAGTTATAATACACTATGTGCGCGGAGACAGGGGACCTCCTTACACCATAACCTTATAGCTGCAGTTAGAATACACTGTGTGCGGGGAGACAGGGACCTCCTTACACCATAACCTTATAGCTGCAGTTATAATACACTGTGTGCGGGGAGACAGGGGACCTTCTTACACCATAACCTTATAGCTGCAGTTATAATACACTGTGTGGGGGGAGACAGTGGACCTCCTTACACCATAACCTTATAGCTGCAGTTATAATACACTGTGTGCAAGGAGACAGGGGACCTCCTCACACCATAACCTTATAGCTGCAGTTATACACTGTGTGTGGGGAGACAGGGGCCTCCTTACACCATAACCTTATAGCTGTAGTTATAATACACTGTGTGCGGGGAGGCAGGGGACCTCCTTACACCATAACCTTATAGCTGCAGTTATAATACACTGTGTGCGGGGAGACAGGGGACCTCCTTACACCATAACCTTATAGCTGCAGTTATAATACACTGTGTGCGGGGAGACAGGGGACCTCCTTACACCATAACCTTATAGCTGCAGTTATAATACACTGTGTGCAGGGAGACAGGGGACCTCCTTACACCATAACCTTATAGCTACAGTTATAATACACTGTGTGCGGGGAGACAGGGGACCTCCTTACACCATAACCTTATAGCTGCAGTTATAATGCACTGTGTGCGGGGAGACAGGGGACCTCCTTACACCATAACCTTATAGCTGCAGTTATAATACACTGTGTGCGGGGAGACAGGGGACCTCCTTACACCATAACCTTATAGCTGCAGTTATAATACACTGTGTGCGGGGAGACAGGGGACCTCCTTACACCATAACCTTATAGCTGCAGTTATAACACACTGTGTGCGGGAGACAGGGGACCTCCTTACACCATAACCTTATAGCTGCAGTTATAATACACTGTGTGCGGGGAGACAGGGGACCTCCTTACACCATAACCTTATAGCTGCAGTTATAATACACTGTGTGCGGGGAGACAGGGGACCTCCTTACACCATAACCTTATAGCTGCAGTTATAATACACTGTGTGCGGGGAGACAGGGGATCTCCTTACACCATAACCTTATAGCTGCAGTTATAATACACTGTGTGCGGGGAGACAGGGGACCTCCTTACACCATAACCTTATAGCTGCAGTTATAATACACTGTGTGCGGGGAGACAGGGGACCTCCTTACACCATAACCTTATAGCTGCAGTTAGAATACACTGTGTGCGGGGAGACAGGGGACCTCCTTACACCATAACCTTATAGCTGCAGTTATAATACACTGTGTGCGGGGAGACAGGGGACCTCCTTACACCATAACCTTATAGCTGCAGTTATAATATATATGTATTTATTTGTTCTCCTCAGAAATGGTCTATATGGTCCTCAAAGAGAGGAAAATTTCATTTGCACACCTCCCAACAGTCCTGGATCCGCCAGGTCTTTCTCAGTCTTTGAGTCCTGTCCTGCCAATCCAGGTTGGTTCCCTAATGATGGGGTGCCAGAGAACCACCTATGTTGGCGTCAGTGGCACGAACCCTTGGCCACTGTTGATGAGTTTACGCCTGCCATATAAAATGACTAAAGAGACTTACATTCCTCTTTTTTGTTCCATATATGATGATGCAGTGATGTTCCCTGAAAGAGTCTCATTTTGTTCGCCAGCAACAACTTGCACAGACGTATTGAGCATATTAATGAACCTGTAAAAATAAGAGCAGGGTAGGAGATCAGCAAATCAAAGAATTGGGTCCGTCACGCAAATTCTCTACAAATCATGAAACCTTTAAATATGTCAAACTTTTTGTAACAAATCATCAGTTGTAGTCTATTATACAATCATGCAGTGTGTTAAAACCTATCCCACTTCTCGGTCATTTTGATATCTTATATTTTGATATCTTAGACGTTTTCTTGAATACAAATTGTATTATTCTGGTTAACGTTGGGCATGTTGGACACTGAGCATCCTCGTAAAGATGGAAGAACCGTTTCCTTCCCAGTGGAATTCTGGGAGCTACTCTAATCTGATCGGCTGCTCACATCACAAGATCTCTGCCGCCTTTTATATCCGTGACTGTCACGATTCTGAAATTGTGATGCGTTTCCAATATGGCCGCTTCCATGCTGAAACTCTTGACAGATCCTCGATGGTTAATTCCAGCTGAACTTATTAAAGCTTGTTTAGATAAATATTTTCAGGCGGCAGTTCCACTTTAACGTTGGAGCTAGTAGAATTAGTCTCATTCGCAGTTCCCAGGATTTTAAGTTCTTTCAATAAGTTCCATCTAGGCCAACCATAGCGGACACGGTGACGCTATTATTTCTATTTGAAGTGCTGAGTTGGGGTTTATGGGATACGTAGTTCAGTATTCGAATACAGTATCATTCATCAAAACATAAGAATGGGTCTGCTGCCCAAACTGAAAGCAATTCTGCAATAATTCCCCTTACAGGAAGTTGTCCTACTTGGCAAGAACTTAGCAGACCCAAAACAGTGGAATAAATTAATTACATTGGCAAATCTGGCAAATCAGGGCCAGAAGGCTGCCCCAGACGGGAGCAAACCAACACCCCTCCTGTAACCCAGGGATAAAAATCAAATGGTGGATATACCTCCCCTACAACCAGAATTTAATATGATGACTTTATCACAGTAGCCACTGAACTTTGAATTTAATTACTGGCTGTCAGCCAGTGACTGCGTGTTCATTGGGCAGCTTGGTACACCCCCAGATTCCTGTGTTTTGTATGTAGAATTTTAATTATATATTTTCTCTGTGGTACATTTGTTGACTGTTTATTATGAGCAGACGGCATTTAATTATTGTCATTTCTGCTGCGGGACTGATAAAAAGGAACACAAGTTGTAGCTAAACTCATACCTCACAGCCGCTCGTCCATTGGATGGTTTCGTCTTCGAATCTGTAAACTAGAAATTGAAAAGGAAAATTAAAGAACACATTTGTATGATAATAATATAGCGAAAGAATACACCCTGCTGGTATTACCCATATACACCCTGCTGGTAATACCCATATATACCCTGCTGGTATTACCCATATACACCCTGCTGGTAATACCCATATATACCCTGCTGGTATTACCCATATACACCCTGCTGGTATTACCCATATATACCCTGCTGGTAATACCCATATATACCCTGCTGGTAATACCCATATATACCCTGCTGGTAATACCCATATATACCCTGCTGGTAATACCCATATATACCCTGCTGGTAATACCCATATATACCCTGCTGGTAATACCCATATATACCCTGCTGGTATTACCCATATACACCCTGCTGGTAATACCCATATATACCCTGCTGGTATTACCCATATACACCCTGCTGGTATTACCCATATATACCCTGCTGGTAATACCCATATATACCCTGCTGGTAATACCCATATATACCCTGCTGGTAATACCCATATATACCCTGCTGGTAATACCCATATACACCCTGCTGGTAATACCCATATACACCCTGCTGGTATTACCCATATACACCCTGCTGGTTATACCCGTGTATACCCTTCTGGTAATATAATACCAGCATGGTATCTGAATTGGGCGATTTACCTGTTCGCATGTCAGGGCTCCATTGAGGTTGTAGATAAGTAAGGTATAGTTGGAGCGTTCATTTAAATGAGCTTCACATGAACCACTTGGCAAACCGATATTAATATGTAGGTCGTTACCGTCAAGCTCTATTTTCTGATAACTTGGATCCTGTAAAAACGATTCAGTTCAGTCAGATAAACATTTCAGTATTGCAAAAACTGTACACATTGAGGGGTCTGTTCATTAAACAGCGAGATGTGGTGCGTATTAGTATAAGGGGGGTTTAACCCTTCATTCCGGGTTAGTAATTAATCAGGGCCAATAAATGAGTGTTTAATGCAGAGACATAAACAGTTCTCCACTGAAGAGTGGTTTGGGTGTTTTATAAAAGTCCTGTTTTTATACAGAGGCATCCAGTTAACTTATAGCCAGCAGTCCTTATTGTGATCAGCAAGAATGGATCTATGGCCTCGTGACCTAATAACAAAATAATATTCATGTTTAAAGACGTGTCCACGTGAATTTATTAATTAGACACACAGCAATATAAAACAATCCAGAGAAAATATGGTATATAATCCCAATATCGCAGGAATATATAAAGCCGTATATTTTCTTTGTGTCCTGGGACTGGTGATTTTACATCACCCTAATAATAAATCACAAGATTTGTTTATACTGCGCACAGTACTTACCTCAAAGTCCGATTCTTTCAGACTGCCTACTACAAACTCCTGGTTTTTAATATTAAGCGTTAGCTCCGTGTCGGCAAAATTCATGACCTGCACGTAGCATTCCTTGTCTTTAGCAACCGGCGGGATGGTTTTCTGGGAAGAGAAAGGAAATGGCAGTCAGTGTGACAAACATTAAATATTCAGAGTTTTTTCTTTTAAAGTTGTTGATCCTCTTTTTAGCAAGTTCTGGCGAGTTTAATTGGTTAATATGGCGCCTTCCCCGAGCTGAGCTGAATTGGGGTTTGTTTGGTTTGTAATGAGGCCATGTAGGCCGACATTTTGTTATTTCACCACAGTTTGCCGTATACTGAAAATGCTCATTGATTAATGATTTGGTTGTATTTATCCTTTTCTTGTCATGGGATGGTATAAATGCATGTTTTAAGATGCTTGGCAATTTCTCCCTCAGCTGGAATCTGCACACGCAGAAACAAACCGGCGAGAGAAATTACTCTGAACCTACCTTCTCCGCAGCCGCTGATGCTGATTGGTTGCATGCTTATGATGTCAGAGTGCGTCATACACTCAGTGATTACTATGGAGCACAGATTCAGCTCTATATAAGGTTAGTAGAAACACCGGACAGATAACTGGAACTTACATTTATCTGAATTTCCACTACGGTGGCCACGACAAATGCCAGAGCTGCCACAATCATGCCCACCGCCATTTTTGGGATAGGCCTGTGAAGGAAAACACAGACAGACAGCTAATTGCAGCTGCTGATAAGATATATTATATGCAATAAGGACACGCTCAGCACAAGACAAATCGCCATACTCACTTAAAGTTGATCTTGCAACATTTAAGCAGTGGGTAAATTCCAAGGTCAAAAACTGGAATCAGGATAAGGATCATAAGTGGATTCATAACCTGCGATAAGATAAGATTACTGGGATCAGTGAGACAGGGGTTAGTAACTGGAAGCCTAGCGGGAGCCAGGATAATGGCTGTGGGCGATGGGAGTGGCTGTGAGTGTGAGTAATGGGAGTGGCAGAAGTGGGATTGGCTGTAGTTGTGAGTGATGGGAGTGGCAGTCAGCGCATGGTGTGAGTGGCTTTAGATGTGAGTGATGGAAGTTGCTGTTGGTTGAAAGTCGTGGAAGCAGGTGGGTGTGGGTGAGGATAATGGCTGTGGGAGTGTCTGTGTGTGAGTATAATGGCTGTGGGCGATCGGAGTGTGTGAGTGAGTATAATGGCTGTGGGCGATTGGAGTGTCTGTGAGTGAGTATAATGGCTGTGGGCGATTGGAGTTTCTGTGAGTGAGTATAATGGCTGTGGGCGATCGGAGTGTGTGAGTGAGTATAATGGCTGTGGGCGATTGGAGTGTCTGAGTGAGTATAATGGCTGTGGGCGATTGGAGTGTCTGTGAGTGAGTATAATGGCTGTGGGCGATTGGAGTGTCTGTGAGTGAGTATAATGGCTGTGGGCGATTGGAATGTCTCTGAGTGAGTATAATGGCTGTGGGCGATTGGAGTGTCTGTGAGTGAGTATAATGGCTGTGGGCGATGGGAGTGTCTGTGAGTGAGTATAATGGCTGTGGGCGATTGGAGTGTCTGTGAGTGAGTATAATGGCTCAGGGCGATTGGAGTGTCTGTGAGTGAGGATAATGGCTGTGGGCGATTGGAGTGTCTGTGAGTGAGGATAATGGCTGTGGGCGATTGGAGTGTCTGTGAGTGAGTATAATGGCTGTGGGCAATGGGAGTGACTGCTGGTGAGGATGATGGCTGTGGGCGATGGGAGTGGCTGTGAGTATAATGCGGTTGATGGCTGTTGTAGATGAGGTAATTACTGTGGCTGGGGGTGGTGATAGTCACATACCTGGATCTGGTCCGGTTGCGCAACAAATCCTCCCTGAAAGTAGAATGATTGGGATTAGTATCTGCAGACGGTTGGGTATCCATGAGCCGCCATGTTTGGGTAACCGGTGAAACAAGTCATTAGTTGTGGAAATAATATCAGTGAAACAACTTATTATCTTAAAACACTACTTGTAAAATGTACAAAAGTCTGCGTTGATTAAAAATCTCCAGATCCGTCAGGATGAAGATTTTTTTGCCAACTCTGTACTTTATTCTGAACTTTGCTTGTAGGTTTCCAACAACCATGTGTTAGTGACCGGATCCAGTGTGCGATTATTTGTAGTCACAAACTGTGGAATAATCATCTGGGGTGATTCAACAAATTTACAGTCATCCAAATTAAACAACCAAATCCGGGCTGATCCACATTTTTACAAACTTAAAGGTCTACACTGCCCTGCATAAATACAAAATAAATATAATAATCACTATTTACTACATATATGCCCAGTGAAAACAAGCCTGTATTTAATGATGCATTTTTGCATTAAGGGTGTATCTAAAAATGGCTCACAATAGATGTAGATCTCCTGTCTGCAGCCTTTGCAAGCCCTCCCCTTCTAATCCCGCCCAGACTTTCTGTGTCTGACCAATCACAGACTTCCTAATGCAGCTCAATGAGAAGTCTCTACAAGGCAGGTGCTCTGGGCAATTGCTGCCTCGTGAATCTAGCACCACTGAGCTAACCAAACCAGGAAGTAACCGGATTGGGTGTCAGACTGACAGCCAGGGGAGTATAACAAGGTTAATTTATAAATAATTTCTATTGAAATCTGAACTTTTTGTAAAATAAAAAAAGGGTGCACTCCTCACACAGTTACGCTGCTTTAGGTGTTTGGAGTATTCCTTTATGTCTTATTCAAATTATCCCTAAATGGGGCCAATCAGCCCATTCTAGTTTATAAGAATATAATCTCAAACTAAAGGGGAACTCTCACTTCTCTGGAATTTACACCATTGAATAAAATATTGAAAATCATCTATTACTTGTGCTAATATTTTTTTAATGAGATGCTCTATTTTCTATTAAAAAAAGCTTTTAAAAATGATATAATCCAGTTCAGACAATGCAGGCATTGAAAATGGCTGTTCTCAGTGCTGATTGACAGGTGTAAAGGGCGGAGCTTATAACAATGACTGGCAGGGATCTAAGATGGAGGTGGCTCTCTCTATACTGACTGCCAGGTGTAATGGGCGGAGCTTATAACAATGATTGACAGGGAGCTAAGATGGAGGTGGCTCTCTCTATACTGACTGCCAGGTGTAAAGGGCGGAGCTTATAACAATGATTGACAGGGAACTAAGATGGAGGCGGCTCTCTCTATACTGACTGCCAGGTGTAAAGGGCGGAGCTTATAACAATGATTGACAGGGAGCTAAGATGGAGGCTCTCTCTATACTGACTGCTCTTATAACAATCAGGGAGCTATATACTGACTGCCGGGTGTAAAGGGCGGAGCTTATAACAATGATTGACAGGGAGCTAAGATGGAGGTGGCTCTCTCTATACTGACTGCCAGGTGTAAAGGGCGGAGCTTATAACAATGATTGACAGGGAGCTAAGATGGAGGCGGCTCTCTCTATACTGACTGCCAGGTGTAAAGGGCGGAGCTTATAACAATGATTGACAGGGAGCTAAGATGGAGGTGGCTCTCTCTATACTGACTGCCAGGTGTAAAGGGCGGAGCTTATAACAATGATTGACAGGGAGCTAAGATGGAGGCGGCTCTCTCTATACTGACTGCCAGGTGTAAAGGGCGGAGCTTATAACAATGATTGACAGGGAGCTAAGATGGAGGCGGCTCTCTCTATACTGACTGCCAGGTGTAAAGGGCGGAGCTTATAACAATGATTGACAGGGAGCTAAGATGGAGGTGGCTCTCTCTATACTGACTGCCAGGTGTAAAGGGCGGAGCTTATAACAATGATTGACAGGGAGCTAAGATGGAGGTGGCTCTCTCTATACTGACTGCAAGGTGTAAAGGGCGGAGCTTATAACAATGATTGACAGGGAGCTAAGATGGAGGTGGCTCTCTCTATACTGACTGCCAGGTGTAAAGGGCGGAGCTTATAACAATGATTGACAGGGAGCTAAGATGGAGGCGGCTCTCTCTATACTGACTGCCAGGTGTAAAGGGCGGAGCTTATAACAATGATTGACAGGGAGCTAAGATGGAGGTGGCTCTCTCTATACTGACTGCCAGGTGTAAAGGGCGGAGCTTATAACAATGATTGACAGGGAGCTAAGATGGAGGTGGCTCTCTCTATGCTGACTGCCAGGTGTAAAGGGCGGAGCTTATAACAATGATTGACAGGGAGCTAAGATGGAGGTGGCTCTCTCTATGCTGACTGCAAGGTGTAAAGGGCGGAGCTTATAACAATGACTGACAGGGAGCTAAGATGGAGGTGGCTCTCTCTATGCTGACTGCCAGGTGTAAAGGGCGGAGCTTATAACAATGATTGACAGGGAGCTGAGATGGAGGCACCCAGTTACAGGATAAAGGTGGTATACAGGGTTATGTTAATATAATAAAAATCCTGGGAAGAAATCGTCCCTGTTATACCAATTTATGATATCAAGGGAATTTACTATCCACTTGTCTTCAAGGTTGGAAATAATGATGGTGAATAATATGCAAATGACCTGGTGCTATGCATTATGGGATTTATCTTTTGCAACCTCCATCACAAATACCATATAAAGATGGAGCAGCTTTTTACATCACCCAGTCTGAGTGCTGGGGGTTTATATTAAAGTATCTGGGTGTAAATAAATACTACTCTTCATTCACCGCTAGTGTAAGGATAGTTGTGATTTCTACCTCTACCTAAATAACATCCACTGTTAACCATCCTTGTCTTGGGTTGTGAGACTGTTCAATGAATGAATAGTGAGAACAGTCCTGCTGACACCACTGACAACACAACTGCATCACTAGTGTAAATGCATTAGTAAGGTGCAATTTTTGGAATCCATAAATAAAATTTAAAAACAGACAAAATAAAAACCAACACAGAATAAACTTTAACCACTTAAGGACCAAACTTCTGGAATAAAAGGGAATCATGACATGTCACACATGTCATGTGTCCTTAAGGGGTTAAACGTTATGACTATTGCATTCTTTTGAACAATTGGGGTATCACATGGGACAGAGCTGAATATATGTCTGCATTTATATATTTAATTTCATTTTAAGAGCTCACAAATTCATTTTTTATATATATATGGTGTTGCGAAATATAATGTGACATACTAATCAGAAATATTTTTAAAAATCACATATCACGAGACATAATTTTATTTATTTATTTTTATTTTTTTTTAAGTCATGCTTAGATTTCTTTTAAATGTATATTAAATATTTAGCAAATTACAAATCAAACCAGTTAATTCCAGGCACAGCTTATAATAATGATTGACAGGGAGCTATGATGGAGGCACCCAGTTACAGGATAAAGATGGTATATAGGGTTAAGTTAGTATAATATCATGGGAAGAAATCGTTCCTGCTTAACCAACTCATGATATCAAGGGAATTTACTATCCATTTGTCTTCAAAGGTTGGAAGTAAAGATGGTGAATAATATGCAAATGACCCGGTGCTATGCATTATGGGATTTACCGTTTGCAACTTGTATCACAAATACCATATAAAGATGGAGCAGCTTTTTACATCACCCAGTCTGAGTGCTGGGGGTTTATATTAAAGTATCTGGGTGTAAATAAATACTACTCTTCACTCACCGCTAGTGTAAGGATAGTTGTGATTTCTACCTCAACATTAAATAACATCCACCATTAAACATCCTTGTCTTGGGTTGTGAGACTGTTCAGTGAATGAATAGTGAGTCCTGCCGACACTATTGACAACACAAATGCATCATTAGTGCGAATACATTAGCAAGGTGTGATTGTTGTGTAGGAGACATGATATGGCAGGGATATGGTTACACCGATTAAAGCAGAAATATTGCTAATCTGATACACTATTCTTTACTAAATACAAGTAACATTTAAAGAAGATGCTAAAAGACAAAAGGGACTATAGGACTTACTAATTTTGTGTCCATTCTTGTAGCTTGTAGAGTCCATCGGGATCCCTAGAAAAAGAGACAAATTTAACAAAAATATTTGATATATAGGCTTGGGAGACACTATGATAAAAGCCATATTTAGCGCAGTAGGATTTGCCATTTATTCTGCATTTTTAGCGCAGTAGGAGGAGCCATTCATTCTGCATTTTATTGGACACTCAAAGTGGGAGAACCTCCAATACTCATTATCTTCTAATGTTTATCCCAGAATGAAGGAGCTGGATCCATCCTCCATCTCTGCTCTATTCCCAGACTCGCTGTTTTAGCCATGTCTCAGTTACCTGCTGATCAAACAGAGCCCAAAACATGGGTAACGGGATGTACAGGAACAGAACCCGGGTCACCATTTTCACCTCAGTGATAATTTTTTTCTGGAGAAAAAACAAAGAATGATTGGAATGTACATTTTTTATCACATGGGGCACTGCAAGAAGTTTCCATACCCAGTCCCCAAAACCTGTTTTTCTCACCCCTGGCACTCCGCACACTGCTCTCACCATCCCTGGCATTCTGCAACTTGCTCTCTCCGGCCCTGGCACTCTGCTGCACCCTGCACTCCCCAGCCCTATCACTCCACACCCTGCTCTCCCCAGCCCTATCACTCTGCATCCTGCTCTCCCCAGCCTTGACACTCCACACCCTGCTCTCCCCAGCCTTGACACTCCACACCCTGCTCTCCCCAGCCCTATCACTCTGCATCCTGCTCTCCCCAATCCCTGGCATTCTATAACCGTCTCTCCTCAACCCTGGCACTCTGCACCCTGAGCTCCCCAGCCCTGGCACTCTGCATTCTGCTTTCTCCAGCCCTTGCAATCTGCACCCTGCTCTCTCCATCCCTGGAACTCTGCACCGTGCTCTCTCCAGCCCTGGCACTCTGCATCCAGCTCTCCCCAGCCCTGGCACTTTGCATCCAGCTCTCCCCAGCCTCTGCATCCTGATCTCCCCAGCCCTGGCACTCTGCACCCTGAGCTTCCCAGCCCTGGCACTCCTCATCCTGAGCTCCCCAGCCCTGGCCCTCTGCATCCTGATCTCCCCAGCCCTGGCACTCTGCACCCTGAGCTTACCAGCCCTGGCACTCCACATCCTGAGCTCCCCAGCCCTGGCCCTCTGCACCCTGCTCTCCACAGAAATGGCACTCTGCACCCTGCTCTCCCCAGCCCTGGCACTCTGCACCCTGCTCTCCCCAGCCTTGACACTCTATACCCTGCTCTGCCCAGCCCTGGCGCTCTGCACCCTGTTATCCCCAGCCCTGACACACTGCACCCTGCTCTCTCCAGCGCTGGCACTCTATATTCTGCACTCCCCAGCCCTGCAACTCTATACCCTGTTCTCCCCAGCCCTGGCACTCTATACCCTGCTCTCCCCAGCCCTGACACTCTATACCCTGCTCTCCCCAGCCCTGGCGCTCTGCACCCTGTTATCCCCAGCCCTGACACTCTGCACCCTGCTCTCTCTCAGCCCTGGTACTCTGTATCCTGCACTCCCAGCCCTGCAACTCTATACCCTGCTCTCCCCAGCCCTGGCACTCTATACCCTGCTCTCCCCAGCCCTGACACTCTGTACCCTGATCTCCCCAGCCCTGGCACTCTGCACCCTGTTATCTCCAGCCCTGACACTCTGCACCCTGCTCTCTCCAGCCCTGGCACTCTATATCCTGCTCTCCCCAGGCCTGGCACTCTATATCCTGCTCTCCCCAGCCCTAGCACTATATAACCATCTCTCCTCAACCCTGGCACTCTGCACCCTGAGCTCCCCAGCCCTGGCACTCTGCACCCTGCTCTCTCCAGCCCTGGTACTCTGTATCCTGCACTCCCCAGCCCTGCAACTCTATACCCTGCTCTCCCCAGCCCTGGCACTCTATACCCTGCTCTCCCCAGCCCTGACACTCTGTACCCTGATCTCCCCAGCCCTGGCACTCTGCACCCTGTTATCTCCAGCCCTGACACTCTGCACCCTGCTCTCTCCAGCCCTGGCACTCTATATCCTGCTCTCCCCAGGCCTGGCACTCTATATCCTGCTCTCCCCAGCCCTAGCACTATATATCCTGCACTCCCCAGCTCTGGCACTCTATATCCTGCACTCCCCAGCCCTGGCACTCTATACCCTGCTCTCCCCAGCCCTGGCACTCTATATCCTGCACTCCCCAGCCCTGGCACTCTATACCCTGCTCTCCCCAGCACTGGCACCATGCTCACAGGATATTTTTCAGTGGCCCAGTCCAACCAGTGTTCTCTCTTAGGATGTTGCTTTCCGCGATAGCGCCATCGGTTTGATAGTGCAAACTAAACAATAAAAAAAAAAAAAAAAATTTGTCGGTGAACGTTTGACAATTATCAACTCAGTTTTTCACTTAAACTCAGTGGCAAAGTGTCCTATCTGAGAGATGGAATTTATAGAGACATGAAGAATCCAGTAATCATTTTATGGGGCGATTCAGGGTTCAGTGTTTTGTTTATTGAACGTGGCAGAGCTACATGCCGAGTTCAATGTTGAATGTTAGTTATATTGTGAGGTTTAATTTTAAAGGGAAAACACGTTTTAATGCATACAATTAATCCCTGTAAAAAATATAAATTTAGAAAAATTTGCTTAAAAATGAACCTAGTATTAGCTGCAGAACTGGCCTCAGTAGCTAATGACGTTCTGCCCCTGTATTCCATGGTTTCCACGAGCAATGCTACAGTTTTACAGCTTTGCAGCATCTCCTTGTTTCAAATGAATTACAATATGTCCGGAATTCGTGCAATGATCACCTATTCGGAATTCCGTAACTCTGAAACACCATAACCACATCACGAAACAACAAAACAGACATTGAATGAGCCAAAAAAAAGATGAATGATGGTCAGGGGAGAGTCACTAAATTTTCTTTTTATTCACAGATCATGTGACCAATAGAGGAAAAAAAGGAGGAACCGTTAAAAAAATATTTATTTGTAACTTATATGTTTAGAAAATACCTAACAGATGAATAAATAAGTGTAATAATTACTTCACAGGGCACAAGTCTAGGAGACACTTTTATAAATCTCCACTGTTCTGTCCCAAAACAGAAACCAGCGATAACGGTGAAACACGCTGCCTCATACTTACTCCAATGCATTTGAAGACTTGAGACAGAACATTCCCTTCTGGAGGGCATTTCTTATACATCCCACTGCCACTGACAAACACGACTAGGAAACAAAATCAAAGGAAGAGATACTGACCGAAATAAACTGGCAGCACAGAGCAAGATAACAACATCGATGAGAAGAGGGGAATACCAGTGAATTAAACCATCATTACAAAGTGACATACCATACATGTATTTTAAAGCCATGTATTCATTAAACAGTAAGCTAAACTGGAAAAGATGGGCAAATTACAAATTTTTAAGCCAAAATTTGGAAAAACAAATGTACAAATATTTTTGAGCAAATCTTTTTTTTGGTCTACATTTTACAAATTAGATTATAATCGGGCCACAAACCACTATCTGTCTGAATTCTAGAATGTTTTCATTTCTGTGAGTCAGAGAGAGCCTTTCCCTGAATTAAATTATTATCTCTGAAAAAATACACATTACAAGGGACACTCCACTGCCCAATCCCCCCTCCCCTTCACTGTTTAGTAAATATACCCCAATGAAAACTTGCATGTATTTAATAAAGACTTTTTTTCTTTGGGAATATATCTAAAAACAGATTGCAAAAGCTGCAGATCTCTTGTCTGCAGCCTTTGTAAGCCCTTCCATTCTAACCCCGCCCAGACTTTCTGTGGCTGTCTTTACAAGTCTTTGCGAGGCAGGTGCTCTGGGCAATCCACTGAGCTAAACAAACCAGGCAGTAACAGGACCAGGTGATTGATTGACAGCCAGAGGGGGTGTAACAAGGTTCATTTTTAAATGTGGCAATTTCTATTGATATTTGCACTGTTTGTAAAATGAAAAAAAAAAGAGTCCACGCTCTTCACACATAACGTATTCCAGCAAACTGAAGTGCTTTATGGGTTTGGAGTGTCCCTTTAAATACATTACTGAGTTCTCAGTTTGATTTTAGCGCAGGTTTGCTGAACACACTTACTGAGCGCAAGAAACATCAACGCGGCTGGGACACCAAAAGCCAACGCATAACAATCCGTCCCAAAGCACTGGACACCCCCTGGGAGAGAGAGAAACAGGCTCCAGGTTAGGAGGTCTTTAACATTTCAGTAGAATTTGGAGCAATGTGTTGTATAAAGCGTGAATATTGAGTGAAATTACTGGTAACATGAGAACCATGGAAGGGAAATATTTTAGAAAATCTCAAATAAAGTAATATCAAAATCTATTCACAGAGACTGACAATGCAAGTGATATCACACAGCTCGCCTACTCTGGCCTGAATTGCAAGTTACTGCTTAGTAAATTATCCCCGTCGGTGTCCATGGAGATAAAGAAATCTTACCTCTGAGTACGGGTGTCACCAGGGTGGAGATTAAACTCCCAGCATTAATGGAAAGGTAGAAAATGGAGAAAAACTTAGCGCGTTCTTTTACCTAAAAAGAAATAAAACAATGAATGTAGCAATAACAACAAATACTATAACTACTCATGTTTCTTGCATTACAGCTCGGAGATTAATGGTAACATCTCTTCTTTGGATTATACCTGATTCTCTACTAACAATCACACCCTGGGATAACGACACGCGTTCCCCTGGTGATGTCTCCGTGGCGTTTGCTTTTTCGCATAATGCTACGGATTGCTATGAAATAACATCATGGAGCTTTGACGCACAGTGCTTCTATTCATTTTTCATAATAAGTTAAATTAAAGCGTCCCATAAACTCCCGACCTTCGCTGTCTCTGAAAACAGCGGGAAATTTGGGAATGGCTGAGAGATTTCAGCCTCACCCCTCCTTGTTGGAAAGTTTGGGAATGGCTGAGAGATTTCAGCCTCGTCCCTCCTAGTCAGGAAGTTTGGGAATGGCTGAGAGATTTCAGCCTCGTCCCTCCTAGTCGGGAAGTTTGGGAATGGCTGAGAGATTTCAGCCTCGTCCCCCCTAGTCGGGAAGTTTGGGAATGGCTGAGAGATTTCAGCCTCGTCCCTCCTAGTCGGGAAGTTTGGGAATGGCTGAGAGATTTCAGCCTCACCCCTCCTAGTCGGGAAGTTTGGGAATGGCTGAGAGATTTCAGCCTCACCCTCCTAGTTGGGAAGTTTGGGAATGGCTGAGAGATTTCAGCCTCGTCCCTCCTAGTCGGGAAGTTTGGGAATGGCTGAGAGATTTCAGCCTCGTCCCTCCTAGTCGGGAAGTTTGGGAATGGCTGAGAGATTTCAGCCTCGTCCCTCCTAGTCGGGAAGTTTGGGAATGGCTGAGAGATTTCAGCCTCACCCCTCCTAGTCGGAAGTTTGGGAATGGCTGAGAGATTTCAGCCTCACCCCTCCTAGTTGGGAAGTTTGGGAATGGCTGAGAGATTTCAGCCTCGTCCCTCCTAGTCAGGAAGTTTGGGAATGGCTGAGAGATTTCAGCCTCACCCTCCTAGTCGGGAAGTTGGGAATGGCTGAGAGATTTCAGCCTCGGCCCCTCCTAGCTCTGGAAGCTCAGGAATGGCTGAGACTCCGGCCCTCCTTGTTGAAAAAAGCTTCAGAATGCAATGGAGATTTCAGCCTCGTCCCTCCTAGTCGGGAAGTTTGGGAATGGCTGAGAGATTTCAGCCTCGTCCCTCCTAGTCGGGAAGTTTGGGAATGGCTGAGAGATTTCAGCCTCGTCCCTCCCCCTCCTAGTCGGGAAGTTTGGGAATGGCTGAGAGATTTCAGCCTCGTCCCTCCTAGTCGGAAGTTTGGGAATGGCTGAGAGATTTCAGCCTCACCCCTCCTAGTTGGGAAGTTTGGGAATGGCTGAGAGATTTCAGCCTCGTCCCTCCTAGTCGGGAAGTTTGGGAATGGCTGAGAGATTTCAGCCTCGTCCCTCCTAGTCGGGAAGTTTGGGAATGGCTGAGAGATTTCAGCCTCGTCCCTCCTAGCCGGGGCTCTCAGGTTGAATTTGCAGCAAATCATTGAATGGTATTTTGAATGAGTTAATATGGGAACAATTCCAGCCTTTATTGTCATTCAGATGTTTTTGGGTCTTCCCACAACAGCAAAAAGTTAAGTCTTACATGATGTTCTTCGAACTGGTCTCCACCGAACGCCGAGACACAGGGTTTAATACCACCGGTACCAAAGGCAATGGCAATCAGCCCGACCATGGACAATGCCCTGCAATGCACACGTATTAAACACGCTTCAGAGAGCAGTATGACAGACAGTGTGATAGACATGTTCTTACTTACACATGAAGCTCAGTGCTCCCGATGGTTGGAATGGCTCCAACAGATTTCACTACATGACCAATGACATACAAAATAGACAACCAGAAAATCGTGCTGCAAAAAATGAATTAATATTATTTCAATAAAAATATGTTAAAATCACAATGAGTTTTTATTTATAGAGATTGGGAATATAACTGAGAAAATAAGAGCATGGTTATTCAGTCTGTGTTATGGTATTCTGTGTATGTATACTCTGTGTATGTGTACTCTGTATATTTGTATACTCTGTCTGTATATTTGTATACTCTGTATATTTGTACTCTGTATATAGTTATACTCTGGGTACCTCCATTCTAGGTGAATTATTACTGTGAGGTAAAGACACATTTGTTAACGTTTAAATTACATGAAAGTGTTTATGGGGTATAATATTGATGCTGTCTGTTTGGTGTAAACCTGACGATAACATTATCACCGATACTGGAGAGTTAAAGAAAGGGTAATGTCACGTTAGTACAATCTCAGAGGGTCAGGTTTAGTTCAGAACTGGGTCCAGATCCTTACTTGAATTTTCCGAGCCAGACATCAGCGATGAGAGCTCCGATTATGGGGGTGAAGTAGCAGAGCCCGGAGAATGCATGGTACACCGTGGTCGACAAATTCTCATCCCAGTGAAGATAATTCAGGAAGTAAAGGGTGAGGACAGCTGCAAAGGCAAAATATAAATAAAGTGTGTATTTACCAACGAGCCCGCCGTCGCATGCTGTGCTTAGAATACAATAAATAATGCACTTTCTATTGGCTGGCAACAGAGGTGGTGACCTGGAGACCGGTTTGTGCCCGCCTGCCCCCCATGTTCCAGCCTGAGCCCCCACTGCTGGGATGTTTATACAATGTCATATCCTTATTGACGCTCTAAAAAATATATGAATCATTCATGAGTTGTGTACTCTATGGAGGAATTTTACATTTTTTTTTATTTACTATATAATATTTAGAGCTGGAAATAGTTGACCTATTTGGTATTTAATAATAATTCTCAAGAGAATTAAGAGAAATTTTAATTGGTAAAATAGCTGAATTGATGACTTTTTTTTCCTTTTTGCTATTTCATCCTAAATTTACATTTCCTTAAAGGAACACTATAGTCACCTAAATTACTTTAGCTAAATAAAGCAGTTTTAGTGTATAGATCATTCCCCTGCAATTTCACTGCTCAATTCACTGTCATTTAGGAGTTAAATCACTTTGTTTCTGTTTATGCAGCCCTAGCCACACCTCCCCTGGCTATGATTGACAGAGCCTGCATGAAAAAAAACTGGTTTCACTTTCAAACAGATGTAATTTACCTTAAATAATTGTATCTCAATCTCTAAATTGAACTTTAATCACATACAGGAGGCTCTTGCAGGGTCTAGCAAGCTATTAACATAGCAGGGGATAAGAAAATCTTAATTAAACAGAACTTGCAATAAAGAAAGCCTAAATAGGGCTCTCTTTACAGGAAGTGTTTATGGAAGGCTGTGCAAGTCACATGCAGGGAGGTGTGACTAGGGTTCATAAACAAAGGGATTTAACTCCTAAATGGCAGAGGATTGAGCAGTGAGGCTGCAGGGGCATGTTCTATACACCAAAACTGCTCCATTAAGCTAAAGTTGTTCAGGTGACTATAGTGTCCCTTTAATAGTCCATAAATTATGGTTTGGATAAAAAAAAAATTGCAGCTTTATACAGTGAATAGCCTTGTGCGGAAGGGTAGCTGGCAACAGGAAAATATATATACTTATAGCCCCTAACAAAGTGTCTCACACTCCCTGGGATCTAGCGATTTAATCAGCTCAGAATGTTCCAAATAAACATTCTTACTGATATACAAATTTCAGTCACTTGATATATTAGCATAATGACTATTTAGGGTCAAACACAGCAGCCATTGCACTATCTAGTTCACAGCTAGGAGGCAGGTTTTGGAGAACTTGATATTATTTAGATAAAGGCCATAGCATGGATGTCCATATCTGTTTTATTTTGCTGTCACAGATATTGCAGGATAATAAATATCTGATTATTCCTCTCATTGCTACAGCAGGCTTCCCTACTTGACATTATTAATCCCGTTACAGATTGTTATTTAGTCATTACAGGACAGAAGTCCAGGGTTAAATTGCAACTTTTTACGGATTATCCATTAAACAGAATTTACCATAATTAGCCACTGGTTTGTTTTTTTTCTGATTCAGCCTAACTTACTCTTTAGTGAATAAACTGTTGAATGTTTGTAGTACGTCCAGCGCTGGAAATTTTATATTTAAACATATGCAGCAAAAATATCTCTAGACAAGTCTGTCAAACATTTTTATCACTGAATGAGGTGGTTAAGAATTTCTAAAATCTCTGTCTAAACATATTGCTATCCTGAGAGCCTGCTGCGTGGTCTATGGCCGCCATGTCAAAAGCTGTTGGGTAGAGTCATCGTACATAAAATGGTGGTAACTGCACGTTGAGGATTAGCGCCCAACGTCAGTTTTGTGATGTGTAATGGAGCTGCATTTATAAGAGCACAGCGTCATAACAGTGCTAATTGTAGTAGAAGCAATGGGCGCATTATATGGCTGAGACAGATGGGAGTGACAGTCCACAGCATCATGGAGCTTACAATCAACTCTATCGCTACACTCTCAGTAGTACCATTGGTGTCATTTCAAACTGTGCCATGATGACATCACTGAATCTAGTGCTTTATAACATTTTGCAGTGGCACAGATAGGGCATTTTATGTAAATTATTTTACTATCCCTCCAATCCGGTGGTGCGGTGAAATCATGGCATTACGACGTGTTGTGATGTCAGAGTGCAGTTTTATTTATGCTATAAAAATTATGAGTACCATTAAATTGGGTAATAGTAACAACCCCAGGACGTACCTTCATTCTTCCGAGTTAGATAATATGAGTACCATTAAATTGGGTAATAGTAACAACCCCTGGATGTTGGGCTAAGGTAACATTCCCAGGACGTACTTAAAATCTGAATGTACCTTTCCTGGTTAAATACTTTGTTATTATTATTATTATATATAATGGAAATATAAAAAGAATGGAGCCATGTGTAAACAATTAATAAAATGGTTTCTATCTGCAGACACAGCATGGTCACTTTAAATGTTGTTGATATAGGGGTCCCGCCTGAGCCCTGTACAGAGGTGTACAAACACAATGCAAGTCCCAAGATCTATCTAAATGAATTGTTCTAACCATCCCGGTGATTATCTGTGCATTTATCTCTTGATTTGGCCACAGACTGTCTTTATATCAGCGTACGTGCATTTATAAGCCATAAACCTCAATAAATGATGGGCACAAGTCCACGAGATATTGCCGGGAAGAGACCAGGTGATGTTTTATTTGGTTTATAAATGGGTGTTTGGCCTTGGCCTTTCATTCACCTTCCGACTCAGAGCTAAAAGAAGCAGCCACGTGTGGAATGAGTAGGCTATGTCTCCTATACTGCGCTCTGCTTATATACACACGTCATCTGATACATTTACTAAGGAAGTGCAAACATACTGACTTTTACCGTTTATCGTGGCTGTAGCTTTTTTTTTCACATTTTGCACTAATAGTATTTTTTAATCTATTAATAACAAATTGCCAGTAAAATAAATACACAAAATGGAAGTATTTTGCGGTGTTGGGTGAGTATGATACACACAGTGTTGGCGTATGACAAAACACTCATTGTTGGGAATTTCCCCCATTGCTCTTTTCATTTTACAGTTATTGTTTTTTATTTTTCTCACATTATGTTTAATCAAATTATTTTGTGTATTTTTTTTTTCTATTTATGCATTTTTGAGAATTATTCCTACGAAATGTATTAAACTTAAATAAAATATAACCATCATTTTTGAAACTCACAACAGCTCTTATAGAACGTGTCTGGTAAACATAGTGTGATCAATGTTGGATTCTGAAGACCTTCATATTAATGACCACACACAGTTTGGAGACATTTTGGGACTAATGCAGAAAGCCCAAACCAATAAAATGGCCGGCTAACCTCTCCGCTCTCCATCTCCATCTGGCATGTTCAAGCATTGATTGAATAGGACCTACCCATCCACCATGCTTCTTGTGGCCCCTCACATTATATGTCATGCTATTATTGTTCTATAGAACTAATAATGCCAAGGCATTGTCTGAGGACAGCACTCCAGGTATTAATGTGAGGGGCGAGATGTTCACAGTGAATGTTAGATGCGCAGGTAGAGAGCCGCGCAGGTTTACAAACCCAATATCCGCTCACATTGCACAAGTCTGTGGGCTGAATTGGGAAGTAAAATGATGGAAGAGGTCTAAAAGGCTGTGAAAGAAAATAGATAGAAATTTGGGCTACAGCAGCCACCGTCTAGCACTATAACTACTAAAACATGCTATATTATAGTTTTTGACTTGTGCCTGCAATGGATTTGTTGAGGTATCACCTCAGTTTAATAGGATTTGTTAGTGTATTTTTATATAAATAGTTCTATACACATACTGAGTACAATATAACCCTCTACCCTCTTACTATGCCGTGGTCTGCTGCCTCCCCCCGCCCTGCGTACCTTTCATTCCATAGTAAGAGAATCGTTCACAGAATTCATTGACGACAATAAAGAGGATGCTCAGAGGATAATTCGTCCCACATAGTTTCTGTAAAAAAGAGGATGACAAGGAGAAAATGATAACAAAATGTGTATATAGCACGTCATACGTACAGGAGCCAGCCTGCGGACAGTCCCTCACACGCTGTGCGTGGCGCTGTACACAGCTTACACAGGTTAGGGGTGTATATAGAAATATATATCAAAGAAGTCCAATCGGAAGCACGCTCTGGGATTTTTTGCTCCCGATTTGACTTCTTTGATATATATTTATTTATACATCCCACTTTGAGATGTACAGCGCTGGGAAGCACCCGCGTGGAGACTGATACTGTTTGTTTATTGTTTTGGGTTGAGTGCTGGAGTTTGGGTTTGTGTGTATATATATATAAACATGGCCTCTCTCACAGCCAGGCGTCTAATCACACGCAAATCAAAACAGCGATTTACCAGAAATGGCTGCTTATTCTGCCGAATCCCCGTCTGGTCAAACAAAGGGCAGCACTTCCCAAGCTTCATTGTGTCGTTGTGTCATTGTATCGTTGTATCGTCAGATATCGGTAGGTATGGTCGCTGCTGCAAGGCTATTATCAGGGTTATTAACTAAACTGAGAATGCCTTAGACAGCAGGAGATGGGTCGATAGGCATGGTCGCTGCTGTTAGGCTATTATCAGGGTTACTAACTAAACTGAGAATGCCTTAGACAGCAGGAGATGGGTCTATAGGTATGGTCGCTGCTGCAAGGCTATTATCAGGGTTATTAACTAAACTGAGAATGCCTTAGACAGCAGGAGATGGGTCGATAGGCATGGTCGCTGCTGTTAGGCTATTATCAGGGTTACTAACTAAACTGAGAATGCCTTAGACAGCAGGAGATGGGTCTATAGGTATGGTCGCTGCTGCAAGGCTATTATCAGGGTTATTAACTAAACTGAGAATGCCTTAGACAGCAGGAGATGGGTCGATAGGCATGGTCGCTGCTGTTAGGCTATTATCAGGGTTACTAACTAAACTGAGAATGCCTTAGACAGCAGGAGAAGGGTCGATAGGTATGGTCGCTGCTGCTAGGCTATTATCAGGGTTATTAACTAAACTGAGAATGCCTTAGACAGCAGGAGAAGGGTCGATAGGTATGGTTGCTGCTGCTAGGCTTTTATCAGGGTTATTAACTAAACTGAGAATGCCTTAGACAGCAGGAGAAGGGTCGATAGGCATGGTCGCTGCTGCTAGGCTATTATCAGGGTTATTAACTAAACTGAGAATGCCTTAGACGGCAGGAGAAGGGTCGATAGGTATGGTCGCTGCTGCTAGGCTATTATCAGGGTTATTAACTAAACTGAGAATGCCTTAGACAGCAGGAGAAGGGTCGATAGGCATGGTCGCTGCTGCTAGGCTATTATCAGGGTTATTAACTAAACTGAGAATGCCTTAGACAGCAGGAGATGGGTCGATAGGCATGGTCGCTGCTGTTAGGCTATTATCAGGGTTATTAACTAAACTGAGAATGCCTTAGACGGCAGGAGAAGGGTCGGTAGGGATGGGCGCTGCTGTTAGGCTATCAGGGTTATTAACTAAACTGAGAATGCCTTAGACGGCAGGAGAAGGGTCGGTAGGGATGGGCGCTCCTTTTAGGCTATCAGGGTTATTAACTAAACTGAGAATGCCTTAGACGGCAGGAGAAGGGTCGGTAGGTATGGTCGCTGCTGCTAGGCTATTATCAGGGTTACTAACTAAACTGAGAATGTCTTAGACAGCAGGAGAAGGGTCGGTAGGGATGGGCGCTGCTGTTAGGCTATCATCAGGGTTACTAACTAAACTGAGAATGCCTTAGACAGCAGGAGAAGGGTCGGTAGGTATGGTCGCTGCTGCTAGGCTATTATCAGGGTTACTAACTAAACTGAGTGCCTTAGACAGCAGGAGAAGGGTCGGTAGGGATGGGCGCTGCTGCTAGGCTATCATCAGGGTTACTAACTAAACTGAGAATGCCTTAGACAGCAGGAGAAGGGTCGGTAGGGATGGGCGCTGCTGTTAGGCTATCAGGGTTATTAACTAAACTGAGAATGCCTTAGACAGCAGGAGAAGGGTTGCTAGGTATGCATCTGTGTCTATGCGTCTGTTTAACTGTGTGTGTATATCTGTATGTGTGTTAGTCTGTTTATCTGCATGTGTGTGTCAGTGTGTGTTTATGCGTCTGTGTAACTGTGTGTGTATATCTGTATGTGTGTGTTTGTGTGTGTCTGATTACTTGCACGGGTGTCAGTGTGTGACTCTGAACATCTGTGTATCTTTTACTAAACTTTTACAACAGTACATAGAAAACACACAACACTACACAGAAATACACAACTACATTAACACACACATACTCCATACAAAAACATGCTTACATTCTAATACACAAATAACTGCTCAGTGCGAGGATGGGCAAATGGTAGATCCCCAGCTGGCAAAGCATTGTGTGAGTTGTACTACAGATGGGAATCTACCATTTGCCCATCCTTGCGATGGGGGGCTTAAAAACCAGGGCCCAGTCTTCTTTAGATCCACCACTGATGAGAGACCCTTTGTGTGGCCCTTGAGGCAGTTTGGGGCCCGTGGCACAGTATTATAGAGCAGAGCTGAGGACAGTAAGCGATTGGTGATATTATGCTGCAATAATGTTGAATTAATGGATTAATGCATTCCTCTCAGTGGGGACAGATCACGAACTGTTACTATGGATTCTGGATCTGATTTAACCCCTTGTGAGCAGCTTTAGAGAGGTATATTCACTGCTCCCTTTAGGGAATGAATACATTAAAAAGAGATGAATAGGTTACTATGTAGGGAGTGTAAAGATTAACTCATAGACATATAGAGTGTGAAGAGGTTAACTCCCGGAGGAAGTGGATATATTAACTTAGCCTATGTAGGGAGGTAAGAGGTTAACTCAACTCTTAGCGAATGAATAGGTTAACCCATCTCACTGAGTGAAAAGGTAAATGCAGGTTATGTAGGGAGTGAAGCTAATTAAGGCTACATAGATAGTGAAGAGGATAACTCTTATAACTCTTCCCATATAGGGAGTGAAAAAGTCAATTCAGCCCAAATAGGGAGTGAAGAGGCTAATTCAGCTCATACAGGGTGTTAAGAGGTTAATTCGGGCAATGTAGAGAGTGACGAGGTTAATTCAGCTCATACAGGGAGTTAAGAGGTTAATTCAGGCAATGTAGAGAGAGGAGAGGTTAATTCAGGCAATGTAGAGAGTGAAGAGGTTAATACATCTCATACAAGGAGTGAAGAGGTTAATTCGGGCTATGTAGAGAGTGAAGAGGTTAATTCAGCTCATACAGGGAGTGTTAAAGAGGTTAATTCGGGCTATGTAGAGAGTGAAGAGGTTAATTCAGCTCATACAGGGAGTTAAGAGGTTAATTCAGGGTAGAGAGAGGAGAGGTTAATTCAGGCAATGTAGAGAGTGAAGAGGTTAATACATCTCATACAAGGAGTGAAGAGGTTAATTCGGGCTATGTAGAGAGTGAAGAGGTTAATTCAGCTCATACAGGGAGTGAAAAGGTTAATTCGGGCTATGTAGAGAGTGAAGAGGTTAATTCAGCTCATACAAGGAGTGAAGAGGTTAATTCGGGCTATGTAGAGAGTGAAGAGGTTAATTCAGCTCATACAGGGAGTTAAGAGGTTAATTCAGGCAATGTAGAGAGAGGAGAGGTTAATTCAGGCAATGTAGAGAGTGAAGAGGTTAATACATCTCATACAAGGAGTGAAGAGGTTAATTCGGGCTATGTAGAGAGTGAAGAGGTTAATTCAGCTCATACAAGGAGTGAAGAGGTTAATTCGGGCTATGTAGAGAGTGAAGAGGTTAATTCAGCTCATACAGGGAGTAAAGAGGTTAGTTCGGGCTATGTAGAGAGTGAAGAGGTTAATTCAGCTCATACAAGGAGTGAAGAGGTTAATTCGGGCTATGTAGAGAGTGAAGAGGTTAATTCAGCTCATACAAGGAGTGAAGAGGTTAATTCGGGCATGTAGAGAGTGAAGAGGTTAATTCAGCTCATACAAGGAGTGAAGAGGTTAGTTCGGGCTATGTAGAGAGTGAAGAGGTTAATTCAGCAATGTAGAGAGTGAAGAGGTTAATACATCTCATACAAGGAGTGAAGAGGTTAATTCGGGCTATGTAGAGAGTGAAGAGGTTAATTCAGCTCATACAAGGAGTGAAGAGGTTAATTCGGGCTATGTAGAGAGTGAAGAGGTTAATTCAGCTCATACAGGGAGTAAAGAGGTTAGTTCGGGCTATGTAGAGAGTGAAGAGGTTAATTCAGCTCATACAAGGAGTGAAGAGGTTAATTCGGGCTATGTAGAGAGTGAAGAGGTTAATTCAGCTCATACAAGGAGTGAAGAGGTTAATTCGGGCTATGTAGAGAGTGAAGAGGTTAATTCAGCTCATACAAGGAGTGAAGAGGTTAGTTCGGGCTATGTAGAGAGTGAAGAGGTTAATTCAGCTCATACAAGGAGTGAAGAGGTTAATTCGGGCTATGTAGAGAGTGAAGAGGTTAATTCAGCTCATACAAGGAGTGAAGAGGTTAATTCGGGCTATGTAGAGAGTGAAGAGGTTAATTCAGCTCATACAGGGAGTAAAGAGGTTAATTCGGGCTATGTAGAGAGTAAAGAGGTTAATTTGGGCTATGTAGAGAGTGAAGAGGTTAATTCAGCTCATACAAGGAGTGAAGAGGTTAATTCGGGCTATGTAGAGAGTGAAGAGGTTAATTCAGCTCATACAAGGAGTGAAGAGGTTAGTTCGGGCTATGTAGAGAGTGAAGAGGTTAATTCAGCTCATACAAGGAGTGAAGAGGCTAACTTACCGGTACTTTCTTGGTAGGGCTTGATTCGGAACCAAAAACCTTTGCGAATCCTTTCTTGATCCCTGTGGAAAGTGGGGGACAGGGGTAAGTTTGGGGTGCTGGCATGCGGTGAGTGTCTGCCTCATACTCTCCCTTTCTCGCCATCGTTAAGCATAATTCGTCTCCCACCCCCAGGGGTGCAGCTTAGCTCCTGGCGCAAAATACATTAACCCTGTACATCCCAGAAAAATGTGTCTGCTCACAGACAAATCGAAGTGACGGCCCCAGGGGCAGACTGATGGCAATTTAACATTTCTAGGATCGATTTACATCCCAGACACTGTTAGCCGTCCTCCCTGCAATGTGTTAGATATTACCACCCCAGCCGGGATAGTGGGACACGCGTCTACCACCTTTAGATCAATAATGTTATCTATCGTTGGGGGATGCTCTGGGCAGTGTAAATACTGTAGCTCATTGTATTGATACTGCTCATTGTATTATTACAGCTCATTGTATTGATACTGCTCATTGTATTATTACAGCTCATTGTATTATTACAGCTCATTGTATTGATACCGCTCATTGTATTGTTTTGTAGTGGTTATGGTGCTAAAAGTCATTGGGCTCCTATTTCTGTCAAACTGTTTTGGAGCAGTTTAAAAAAATTTGGGGCCCCCACAGCACCTATTGCCCCCCTCTACACCTCAGCATCTACCAATGCAAATCTGGGCAGCTCAATGCTAGGCTGACAGTGATGGGGTGGGTTAGCTGGGGATGACGTTCTGTTTCATTCTGTTGCCTGTCCAGACTATGCTCTGTGTCGCTGTCTATTTTCTATGTGTCGCTGACTATACACTGTGTGTCACTGTTTGTACACTGTGTGTCAATAACTATACACTGTGTGTCGCTGTCTGTACACTGTGTGTCGCTAACTATACACTGTGTGTCGCTAACTATACACTGTGTGTCGCTGTCTGTACACTGTGTGTCGCTGACTATACACTGTGTGTCGCTAACTATACACTGTGTGTCGCTGTCTGTACACTGTGTGTTGCTGACTTTACACTGTGTGTCGCTAACTATACACTGTGTGTCGCTGTCTGTACACTGTGTGTCGCTAACTATACACTGTGTGTCGCTGTCTGTACACTGTGTGTCGCTGACTATACACTGTGTGTCACTGTCTCTACACTGTGTGTCGCCGTCTGTACACTATGTATTACTGTCTGTACACTGTGTGTCGCTAACTATACACTGTGTGTCGCTGACTATACACTGTGATGGGGTGGGTTAGCTGGGGATGACGTTCTGTTTCATTCTGTTGCCTGTCCAGACTATGCTCTGTGTCGCTGTCTATTTTCTATGTGTCGCTGACTATACACTGTGTGTCACTGTTTGTACACTGTGTGTCAATAACTATACACTGTGTGTTGCTGACTTTACACTGTGTGTCGCTAACTATACACTATGTGTCACTGTCTGTACACTGTGTAGCTGACTATACACTGTGTGTCGCTGTCTATACAATGTATGTCACTGTCTGTACACTGTGTGTCTCTGTCTATATTTGCAGCAACATGAAACGTGCTTTACTGAGTATTTAGAGTTCACTGGACTCTATTCCTATCACTCTCAGCTCTGCAGGGAAGAAAATCTCTCATGTTTTCCTTCTGGCCGCCGTTCCTGTGTCCTGGACCTGCAGCTTCCACTCTTATTACTGCCACAACTTCTAAATCAGGGGCTCCTGGCTGACTTTGGACCCCCATCTACCTGGGCTTCCTCAGGGGTCCAGCCTATATCTCAAACCAGGAGCTTTATTAAATGGCTAGTGGCTACTGTGACCCTCTGAAGCAGCTGTGGTGCATTCTTCCATTTTAAAATGATCTCATTTGTATATTACAATATTTAGAACCACAAAGTTGCAAAGGGTGCAAAAAGGCCGATGGGGATGTGATGGTAATGCCACTTCTATTGTGATGCCCAAAAGGATGGCAGATGGCAGGTTCTGCTGTGCCCCACCCAGGGATACACATGTGCAGGGTGCAGTTAAAGAGCTCGGCCCCTGGGCTGAATGATCTGAGTGCACATTGCACTCAACGAGCAAGTCTAAAGAGTCACTCTCAGCGCTGCAATGCACGCTCTGCATAAACAGCAATTCTGCGGCAAACTAATCACAAAGTGGAGTAATTAGCAGACATTCACTGGTTTCCATGGTGACCTCTCCATGTTTAGAAGGTTTGCCCCAGAGTTGGTCTTTGTACATAATGCATTATCCCTCTCCACATTTAGCTGCAGGCGATCATAGGATTTTGAAAGATGTCTGTATAACAAAGGCTCCTCTGTGAGCGCCAGGGGGTCACGTATTTGTGACCTGTAGAATTAGCAGCTTGGAAACGGATCACTGCAAAGTTTGCCCTCGATATTTGGGTTTATCGCTATCTGACGATGACTGAGAACATTTAGAAATAAACAAGTTCTGTTTTACAGTTTTAGTTCAAAGTGTCATCACGTTTTTCTTTAAATTCTCTGCTCTTACACTACAATTCCCACTATCCTCACTCAGCCAATAGCCAGGGCTCAAAGTATTCTGGCAACTGCAATATACCAACAGTTCGAAAGCTGCTACATCTAGAAAAACGGTATAAAAATCGTGAAATCTTAGTGCCAGGGTCAGTCTCTGTAATATGTTAAAGGGACGATAAAGGCTGAATAGCAGAGGAGGTCTGACATGATTTTAGAAAGAGAAATCCGTTTTGTGATGATTTTCTCTCGTACGTCATGGACCATCTCTGCAAGGATTTCCCTGTGAATGGAGTGATTTCCGTCGATTTCAGAACTAATTTAATATTTCAGAGGAGTGTGTGCGAGCAGTTAAAATCAGCGCAGTTTATTCACCGAATTGGAGTGAATTAAAACCAACTTATAATAATTGGGCTAAAATAGCCAAGTTAGGACAATACCGGAATATTGGAAATCATCAATGCTTCACTAAAATGTGCCATTCAGTTTTCAGTTCACCGCAGGTTAAAGGTTGGTGAATAAACTCCACAGGATTCATTCAGGGAATCATGAAAATCTAGTCAAATTATTTATTTCCTAATTGATGTAATTTCAACTTCTAAATTCTAACACGTTATGGGAAAATAGATCAGTTGTCTACCACATGTTTTACTGAATTAGATAGTTAGACAGACGGATGGAAGCGTTAATGGATGTCTGGGTGGATGGATGGATGGATGGATGTCTGGGTGGATGGATGGATGGATGTCTGGGTGGATGGATGGATGGATGGATGTCTGGGTGGATGGATGGATGACTGGATGAATGGCTGAGTGCATGGATGAATGGATGGCTGGGTGGATGGATGGCTGAGGGGATTGATAGGTGGGTCCAAGAGTGTGAGAGTACAGAGAGTAGAATGATCAGTCAGCAATGACAACGTATCAGAAAGGTTTGAGAGAGTTATCCCACTGTCAGTGTACAGGAGGGATTCACTAAGCCCTGAGAGAGTTATCCCGCTGTCAGTGTACAGGAGGGATTCACTAAGCCCTGAGAGAGTTATCCCGCTGTCAGTGTACAGAGAGAGTTATCCGGCTGTCAGTGTACAGAGAGGTATCCGGCTGTCAGTGTACAGAGAGAGTTATCCGGCTGTCAGTGTACATTAGTAAATTAATATTATCAATAAATGACATCCAGACAGCACAAAATAAAGCTTTATCACAGACGTAAGACGTTCTCCAAACAGGATCACATTGCTAAATAATAAACATACTTTATACCAAGGATTTGTCCTGAAATATAGCATAGACCTTTTCCCAAAAATATTGACACATAAAGACAAATACCAACATCCCACCCCATACGCCATCCCACCCCATACACTATCCCACCATCCCACCCCATACACTATCCCACCATCCCACCCCATACACTATCCAACATAATACACTATCCCACCTCATACACCATCCCACCCAATACACTATTCCACCCCATACGCTATCCCACCTCATACACCATCCCACCCAATACACTATCCCACCTCATACACCATCCCACCAAATACGCTATCCCACCTCATACACCATCCCACTCAATAAACTATCCCACATAATACACTATCCCACTCCATACACCATCTCATCCACTATCTTACCCCATACACTATCTGTGCACTATCACACCCCATACACTATGCCTCACCATGCACTATCCCACCGAATGTACTTTCCGTGCACCATCCCACCACATGCACCATCCCAGCCCATGCAGTGGAGCAGGGTCTGTCCCTGAATCCCAGTCTAATGTACCTTTCTCTTTTTTCAGATCATCCCCCATGTCTGCTGATGCTTGGGTCCTCACGCAGATTGACACAATCTGTGCATCTATTTCTGCTATTTTGACAAGTCTAGTAAATCATTCACGTAGAGGTCACTGCCCCCTCTTAAAAGCTGCCAATGATGTTTGTCATTTTTTTTACCAGTGATTAAAGCACATGTGGCATTTCTTGCTAACCTTTGGACCAGCCCAAGACATGTGTGTGTTGTGTGTGTTGTGTGTGTGTTGTTTGTTGTCATAGGATGTTCCAGAGGGAGTCTGTTGAGATTCTTGGGTTGGATGCTGAGGCTGTTCATTCAGCGGATACTTGTTTACAATAAACACTGTTAAACCAACGCCACGCAGTCATGTGATGGGATTAAAGACAATTTCAATGAATTGTGCCATTCACTGCATCAGACACATCAAAGTGGAAGTGAGGTCCTGGGAGGTCAGGGGTTTCTAAACTTGTAGTATTTTCATCCCTCACACTGATCTGTAAAACGTTTCACAGATAAATACCACGAGATTAAGAATAGCCTTTAACAGGTAATAAACTTTCACTTCACATTTTTTACAGAGAGCTTGTAAACAGGGCACTTTATTATTATTATTATTTTATTTTTTATATAGCGCCATCAGATTCCGTAGCGCTGTACAATGGGTAAACTAACAGACATGTAATTGTAACCAGACAACTGGACGTACAGGAACAGAGAGGTGGAGGGCCCTGCTCAATGAGCTTACATTCTAGACTTTACATATAATAATCAGATATTAATGAATGCATTTGTTATATCACCATCAATGCTCATATACATATATATAACACGAACCAGGAGGGAAAATAGGGAGTTTGGCACAATGTATATGGCCCATAGTCGGTGAGCAGGAGGCCAGCTTCTACACTTCTCCAGAAGTTTGTGGCAAATGTCCAGAGTAAGGAGCGTTTGTCACACCAGACGTGCCTAGAGGGATATCGACTATACCTCACTGACGATGCCTAACAATGCGTCTGAGGTTGGTGTATCTCTTGTGTACAGAGAACTGGTTTGCACTAATGTGAGACTGCAGAGGCATGATATATACACAAAAACTGTTTCATTAAGCTAAAGTTGTTTTGGTGACTAGTATATATAGTGTCTCTTTAATGGAACTCTTACACAGTGTATATGTGATGGTTGTCTCCAATAACCGCAAAAGAGCGCAATAAATAACACAGTACGGCACAGCAGGTTATGTTACCAATCTAAACCAAAGAAAAAGTTAACTGCGCTCTCTCCTAAATCTCCTACATAGGGATTAAGGAGAGAGCGCAGGTAACTTTTTCTTTGGTTTTTATTGTATACATTGGGGCTGATGTGTACTGTGGTCGTTGCTGCCGCCCAGGAGTGATGGGAGTGAGCGCAGGACTTATCTTTTTGTATTTGTATTCACTTTTTGTATCACACAGCTTTGTTACAATGCTGCCGCCCATCCCATGTGTTCCCTATTAAGGGTTAACAAGTATATAGGGGGGTATATACTGATTAGAGATATATTTGCCAGAAGCTCAAGGAAGCAAGGTGAAAGGTCAGTGTTGGACCCACCTGAGGGGGTCTGCCCTGACGTTGGCAGGCGGGCATTCCCTCCAATGGCCATTGGAGTAACTAAATGACCTCCATTTGTTTAAATATACATAGGGATTAAGGAGAGAGCGCAGGTAACTTTTTTTTGGTTTTTACTGTATATATATTGGGGCTGATGTGTACTGTGGTCGTTGCTGCCGCCCAGGAGTGATGGGAGTGAGTGCAGGACTATATTTTTGTATTTATGTTACCAATCTGTCAATGTGCTCGATGAGAATTATCTCCTACTAAAAGCCGGGATGAGTGAGGAGGAATCCTTTTGACAGACACCGTTGGACAACTCTTCACATCAACGAGTTTCGCCCATTCACTGTGGGCTTTTTCAAGATAAAGAGGGCAGCAGCATTGTGCAGCATTTATATATACCTTATGGAACAATTTGAATTTCCACATTCTTAAAGTCACAGTACTGCTCACATATGTTGGCAGAATCATTCATGTGCTGTTCATCATAATACAAATAAATGAACAGCATGAAAAAATACTGTGAAATAATAATTTTAAAATAATCTTAATTAAATTATTTAACCCCTTAAGGACCAAACTTCTGGAATAAAATGGAATCATGACATGTCACGTGTCCTTAAGGGGTTAAGAGATCCCTCTCTACATATCTCAAAACAGAATGCACGTGTCATGGATGATTATATATTTCCTGCCTGTTCTATGTTAAATTTTGTATTTATTGTGTATTAATATTGTTTTTGTATTTTATTGTACCTAATGTATCAATGCAACGTTTTGTGGACCCAGGACATACTTGAAAAGGAGAGACATGTCAATGTATCTTTCCTGGTAAAATATTTTATAAATAAATAATATATGAACCATAAAATGCATAGAAAATGTAATAAATAACATGTACTCTGTAATCTATGTATGTTCATGCCTACAAAAATTCCCGGTATATCAAAACAATGTTAAAGAAGGAGGATTGTTTTCTATGAAACCCATTTTTAAGGTGCCGCCTCTCTCTACATCTTTAAAAAAAATCCCAGAGTGAGCGGGCGAAACGCGTTGATACAAGAAGCGGCTTCCTAGAGTTGTTCAGTGGCGTGGGGCAATGGCATTCCTCTGTTCTTTGAATCACTCATTATGGCTTTTGCTAGGAGATTGGTCTGATCGTGCACATTGTCAGAGTGGATACATAGCCTTGGACACTGCTGTGCTATGTTATATATTTTGTGCTTTTGTGGTTTTTAGAGACATACTACACATACACTGTGTTCCTTTAAGGGGAAGAACAATACATTGACAGTATCACACTATATATATTTTTTCTTTGTGTCTTTTAAGGTACTTGAAGTGTATACTGTCTACTGGATACAGTGAATACATTGCTTGTTTGATATGTCGAATAGAGGATACATAATACCCGGCTCCCTTGATCCTCAGACCACCTATGTGAAGGTGGATAAAGTACTGAGAACCCTTATATGAGTGTTACCCCTGACGATTTATTCATGAGCTTATTTACTAAGCACTTACATTTATATTTACAAACTCTCGGTGGTGGCTCTGTGATGCTTTGGGGCTGGTTTGCATCCTCTGGCATGGGAAACCTGCAGTGTGTGGAAGGCAAGATGGTCTCATTGAAGTTTCAGGAAATTCTAAGAGAAAACGTCATGCCGTCTGGGAGGATGCTGAAGCTTCGGCGTCATTGGACCTTCCAGCAAGACAATGATCCCAAGCGTACCTCAAATTCCATCAAGGCTTGGTTGCAGAAGAAGTCTTAAGATCCCTCAGGAACGCTGCCAGAAGCTGGGTCTGGCTAGGAATCTCGTTTGCAGCAGGTCATAACAGCAAAAGGGTGCTCTGCAAAGTACTAAAGATACTTGCCAGGCAGGGGTTGAATAATGTTGAGACTGGAGAAGTCATTATAAGTTGCAATTTCAGTTGAATTTCGGGGAACCCTGTGAAGCAATCGTTGTGTTGAGTAATTTCAATTGCTTTTGTTTGATTTGGTCATTGCAAACAGCTGAAAGCCTGTAAATGTTGGAAACTTGATTTTCAATGGGGGTTGAATAATTTTGAGTACAATGTATTTCTTTTTTAACTTCTCCTTATTTAAGAAAATGGATTTGGATCAGATGTCCAGCTGTCCTGCACACTCTGGCATCTGATGCAATTTTTTTTAAATGTCCGATGTTTGTGTTTGGCCAGTAACCATGAATGTTTAAAATGATGAGCCAGTGCAACGATTTATTCACTAAAGTACAAATTATAGCAAACTGAACTGAATGGGGAAAATGAGGAATAAACAGACGAACTGAAAAAATTGCCAGATTCAGCTATAACCACAGCTTGGCTAATGAGGCCTAAATCCTGTCATTCCGTTTTCAGCTTGCTAGAATTGGAATGTTAGTGAAATGATATTTAATAACATCAGCCAGAGTTCCCGTTATTGAAGACGTTACACACTGGAGCCTGCGCTGGTTTGCTTCGGCAGACCTAGTCACTAAAGTGTGAATTCCAAATATTTCAGGCTGAAATTTAGAATTCATCAAGTTAAATATATTTCCAGTTTGTTTATTGTGGGCTAGGATTTGAAATTCACTTTTAACTTTGCTGGAATCCCCCACGATTCCCACTTTATTGCCGTTCGTGCCAGTGGAAGCTCCAATGTGCAGAGTCCGCAGGTTGATTAGTAACCCAGTCCAAAACTTGGGTCATTATATTACAGCCATACAATTCCAAGAACTGCATCCAGAATTTTCTACAGGCCTTCTCTCAGATTATGAATTAACCTTGAGGGATATTTAAACCATATCTCTGGATTTATGGCTCTCAGAAAACATGACAGCTGCAGGCAGTGATGCCTTTTAGTGACTGCCATAACTACTGCTGAGTAATTATATAAGATCCGTCAACGTTGATCAGGGCTAGCTTTTAAATCACTGCATCATTTTAATTCAGCAAGTGTAGATGATGTCGCACCATAGAAAATGAAAGAAACGGGAGCTGCAGCTTTAACCCCTTAAGGACACATGACATGTGTGACATGTTATGATTCCCTTTTATTCCAGAAGTTTGGTCCATAAGGGGTTAAGTGGATTTTGATGAAACCAACGGGTCATTCTTGTACAATACTTTCTTGCTAAATTGCTAAATTCCCTTTTAAAAGAAATAGGGCTACCTGTTTTTTGTTTTTTTTATAAATGTCCTAATATACAGAAGGTACCAAAAAGATTGGGGTGAGGCCAAAATGATACAACTCACCTCAGTGCAAATACAAATACTACTGTTATGCACCACTGGCGTGACTCTAGTTGGACTTTGAAGGGTCCTACTTGGGCAGAGAAACCTGAGAAATCATGTTTCCATAGCTATCCCAGAGTTCTCAGCTTGACATGCAAATGAGCATGGAAAGGCATCATGTTTCACACTTCATACTGGGTTTCTGCAGCTAACCTTAGCAATGGATGCTGTTTTAAACATAGCTTTTAAAA